GGTTAGTTCAAGGATGCTTTTATTGTCAACGGTCCTGCAATTAATTCGATCTATTGAGTATCTAACTCATTTACTTTTTATTACATTAGCAGTTCGGCTTTCGGTTTACTATCAATGACTGATTTGGAAGTATCACGGATGAGTTAGGTGATGAGTTCTCGTACCTTTGAGAGGGTCTATTTGCATGTCATTTGTTTAAAAAGGATGGTATAGAAAATATAGACACAATGTAGACACACTATTCCTCCTAATTTGGACTGGTAATATAAGGGTATATACTGAGAAAGTTGTTCATATAGTAAGATCAATTTGTTTACAACTGGAAATTCGTAATCAGCTTCAGTTTCAGTTTCAGTTCCAGTTTGGAAAGGACAGGAGGCTTGATGGCCTGTGTTAGTCCTGGCAATGATGGTCTCTCAGCTGATCCAACTTTGTTTTGAAGGAGTCGACGGATGGAGCCTCAACCACGTGCTGAGGTAATGAATTCCACTCGTTGATTATTCGATGGGAAAGTCGGTAGTCAGCTGACAAGTAATTCGTTCTGGGCTTGTGAACGTTTTTGGAGTGTCCTCGTAGATTTTCTGTTTTGGAAGACAAGAAAAATGAGGGCATATCAGGTGCAAATTTGTCGTTAAGCAATTTGAAAACCGTAATCAAGTCGCCTCTGATTCTTCTATATGACAGCGGGAATAGGTTTAGCTTGGTCAGTCTAGTACCATACGGGAGCTTCGCTATTCCGGGAATCAGCCTAGTAGCTGTTCTCTGAACCCTTTCCAAGAGTTCACTGTCTTTTTTTAGGCAGGGGCTAGCTGCTTGCACACAGTACTCAAATTTAGGACGTACGAACACTGTATACAAAGTCAGAAACGTTTTAGCGTCGAGATGCCTAAAAGCCCTGCGTATGGACCATAAAGTCCTAAAACCTTTGGCGTCTATTGCACGGCAGTGTGCAGTAGTCTTTAAGTCTTGACTGACGATGACGCCTAAGTCGTTGTGTGCCTGAACAATAGGTAACTCAGTGTTATTCATCGTGTATGTATCTGTACTCTGATGGCCAATATGCATCACAATACACTTGGAAGTGTTTATCGGCAATTGCCAGGTTTGGGACCATTCAGATAATCTCTCCAGGTCATTTTGAAGTTCTAAGCTATCCCCCTTGCTTTGTATCGCTCTCCATATCTTGACATCATCAGCATAGAGTAAGACCGATGACGATAGTAGACGAGGGAGATCATTTACGTACAGGAGGAATAACACTGGCCCCAAAACTGTACCCTGGGGGACTCCACTAAGCACAGTTTCCCAGCTAGACAACTTGGAGTTCACCCTTACTCTTTGTTGACGCCCAACTAGGAAGTCTTTTATCCACATCAATAGATTGCCTCCAATCCCGACATTCCTTAGCTTATAAAACAGCCGGTTATGCGGAACTTTGTCGAAAGCTTTGCTGAAATCGATGTAAGCTACGTCTATAGGTAATTTTTGGTCCTTAAGAGCGCACCAGCTTTCACGAGCGACTAATAAGTTTGTGAGACAAGAGTAACCTGTTCTAAAACCATGCTGCTTTTCGTAGGGGATCCGGTTTTCATCGAGATACTTTCACAGTTCCTTCCGAATAATCTTTTCTAGGATTTTAACAGCCACACTAGTTAGGCTAATTGGTCGGTAATTCTCAGGCTTATGTTTTGTACCTGTTTTGAAGACTGGACTTACTATGGCGTTCTTACAGTCTTTTGGTAGACGACCCTGGGTTACGGATAGATGAAAACATACACTTAAAGGGTTCGCAACAAAGTTAGCTAATTCCTTTAGTAGCTTAGGATGCAGTTCATCGGGTCCAGTGGATTTACCTATGTCAAGCTTAACTAGCAGACCAAAGACATCGAGTTCTTTAATGGTCACGCTGTCCAGTGCTTGTGTGGGGGGATTTTCATGGACTGGTGAGAAGGGTGTTTCTATGGTGTGTACATCGCTAAAGTATTTAGAGAATACTTGAGCTTTGCCAAAGTCGTCCTCCACTAGTGATGAGGCAGTACTGTCTCCACATAGTGAAGGAACATTTCTTCTTCTTTTTGCCCATTGGTTTATAAACGAATACAAGCGTTTAGGGCATTCTATGGATTCCTTAACGATTTTATCTTCGTACAGCTTCCTGGCCTTACGGGGGGTCGAGGCACACGTATTTCGAGTCTTTTTAAACTGAGATTTTGCCTCGTCAGACCCCAGTAACCTAAATCTGTCCCACATTTTCCTTCTTTTACGGAGAAGGATGCGAACTTCCCTACTAAACCACGGTGGTGAGTTTCTCGGCCCTTTAGGTGTAGTCCAAGAGATGTGGGGGCGGTAACTTTTAAGTATAAATTCCGGAATACGTCCCAAGCCGTTTCGATTGATGACTCTGGGTCTATTTTCCAATCTACTGATGATGCTGATTTCATGATGTCTGGTATGTTTGCTTTCCAGACGTTAGGTCTGGATTGAGCTGAGGCGTGCTCGTGATCGACAGTTATATGGAAGTCAAAGCTTAAAACTGCATGATCACTTTTGCGTAGGGGTGGCATGTAATCCAAGTTTGCAACATCATCCTCATAATGAGTCAATATAGGATCTAGTAAGGATGATGCAGAACCCGGGTCGTACCTAGTTGCTTCCTTCACCTGTTGCACTAGGGCACATGTGATTAACGCTTCAACTAGTTCCTGTTCGAAGGAATTTTCTGACGATTCAGTCCGCAGATTTCCCCAGTCCACCATGGGTGCATTGAAGTCCCCTAGGATTAGACATCGATCGCTTCGTGATAAAGTGTTGAGACTGCTTAGTAGAACCTCGTTTATCTCACAGCTTGGACTGCGATAGATCAAACTAAGCAGCAACTCTTGTCCCCTGCATTTCAGGCGGCAGCTAACTAATTCATACGTCCCACTCTCATGGAATATACTGTCGATAATGGTGAATGGAATAGCATTCCTAATGAATAGAGCTACTCCCCCTCCTTTACGCGTTTGTATTCTATCGGCCCTTACTAAAGTAAAACCCTCGAAATCAAGTTCCCTACTATCTATAGACGGCGTCAGCCATGTTTCTGTGACTGCGATTATGTCTGGCCTAGTTGAGTCAATCTGTACACCTAGTTCCGGTAGCTTATTAAGTAAACTCCGGGCATTGGTATAACAGATCTGAAACCTATTTAGGTGGCCTCGTGCTTCACCCAGAGTGGCTTCGGCATCATCCTCTGTCGAAGCCTCACAACCCGAAAATTTACAATTTTCAGGTCTTTTTCGCCAGCGTCTAATCTGAGCTGTAATTCAGTTTCAGCTTCCCGTCTTTTTACACGGTCTGCCAACGGTAAGTCTTTACGGAGAAAAACTCCTGAACCCTTCAATTTGTGTCCATTTTCTAAGATTAAGTCGCGTTCGTTCGGGGATTTGAGAACGACTTTGAGTAGTCTAGACTGATTTGGCTTCAGATGCGCTAGGTATCCTACCCTATACACCCTTAGCAAGGTGACTCCGGAGATGTTTTGGGGCATAACTTGGTTGAGTAGTTGTTTAATCAACACAATGTCATGCTCAAAACGAGCTTTCGGTTCTAAGCTGTCACTCTCCTTGACTCTATGGAAAATAACTGATCTGTCGCTGTGATCAGACCTCGGCTTGTCGACCCTTTTGGTGGGGGTAGGATTCCCTTTTAAGTCATTTCGCCGTTTTCTCCTTACGACCCGTACCCTATCGCCAACGTTCTTTGGAGTAGTAACCACAGTCACATCAGGCGTACTGTGGGATTCCGGAAGGTTCAGGACAACTTGGGAGGTTGGGCCATCTTGCGATTCTGGGTTCCGGATGTTCCCTTCTGGGTACCATTTTTGGTACGAGGGTCAGAAGAGACTTTTTTGCTCAAGTTTCTGGTTGTGACAGACCTCTTTGGAGGATGTCCTTCCTCTTTTGGACAGTGAGGGTCAGCATTTTTGGGACTCACTTGGGCCTGCCTTATGTCAATCTGCGTGTCGACAGATTGAGTTCTGACTGATGTGTCCCGACCGCGCTTGCCGAGACACTTTTTCGCGGCATTTACTATTGAGATGGCCTCGGTTAACAGGCTATTTGCATCCAAACAGCACTGTTGACATAGCCAGATGCATCCATTTTTACTGAACCGCTTGAAAGCTGCAGGCGTTAGATTCGTGCAAACTTCGTCGCACCAACCTTTGCACTCATCGCACTGCATGCCGCTGTCAACGGGATATCGACATCCTGGGCGGTGGCAAATGCTTTTGTTGCGTCTTCCAGTCATTTTAGGATGAGAAAGTGTGTTTTGACTAAATGTAGAAAAAGCTATAAGTAGTTAGGACCAAAGTAGTAACAGATACAATAGAAAAAACAAGGTACTCTGGAGCACCGACGATAAAACTATCTAGGATACCAAAAATGATACTCTAGTCGAATACTTTAACTGAAAGAAATTCAATCAAAGTATAAAACAATAGTCTTGATACGTTGATAAAGATCAAAACAATGGAATTTACTCAACGAGGAAAAATACCACTGTCCTTTTTAAATAGCGCGCGTGTTGTCTTCGGAACACGAGTTACTGGAGTTGTCTACCTAAAGACTTAATTTCACCGCCTTTTTTTGATACTTTTAAGGTTGTTTCATATATTTACAGCACTGAAGGTAGACAGGATAGTCAAAGATCAGTTGGTAATTTACCCATATTACACGAAATTGAACTGGTATTGAGTACCTATGATAATTAGAAGTATTCGAGTCATTGTACCAGCTAAGAATTCATAAAACAGTGCAGTTTAGGCCAAATAGAACTAGGTGAGCACAAACAAACGTATTGTATTCAGAATTCGAAATCAATCTGTAGTGAAGTACAAAACAATCCTTAGTTCATATAAGCACCACGGCAACTTACTACAATTGTTCTGAGTAATTGAATGTATTGTTAAGAAAAGTTTCAGGAGAGTAAGTATATACCTAACAGAAGATTGTGTGGCTAATCAATGAGTTTTAATGTTTGGTGACCAAGTTGTGTTTTAATGTAGTAAATGGGAAAAGCCGGCCAAGGTATTGAAATTGCGTAATGGCAGAGCTAATTTTACTTTACTTTAATTATAATTTGCAATTTCCCTGAACCTTTAAATGTACTGAAAGTAAGTCATAATACGTTTTTGGTGTTTATATGCTTATTTTGTCGGTCGCTATTAATGTGCTTTTGAAGGGACTTGAAACAGCTGATAGCTTCATGCATAAATATAAGGCAGTATGCGACACACATAGTAACTATAAGATACCAACAGTATGTTCCTATTGTTTTCAGTGTGTGTATACGTATGAAAGAGGCCTGAGTTATACTCAATAAAAGCCATTCAGATGCACTTGTCAAGCTGCACAACCCTTATAAATCTTGAAATAAAGCTGATGCATCCCCTCCTACTTAATCAGTCATATAGTACTAGTTATCTGTCCAAAACTTTCGGCTCAGCCTACTGCAGCAGTAATAATCGTTTTCAGCTCCATCCTGTAGCCGATTTCCCTGTAAAGTATCAATCACCTGTTTAAGACTTTCATAACAGTTGTTGATACTATTTGTTTTGGTAAGCTGTAAGTGGTGTTTACTTTTAGGATGGCGGAATATCGACCAGAGTAGACAGGGATAAATATTTTAAACTGTTTTTGCAGTCCGGAGGGGTAAGATATTGAGACCCAAGTAATTATTAGGCCTACTTGGTCATAAAAGCCAACCTCATGAAGTGAAAGATCCCAGGGACTTGATCGATTCGTATAAGAGACTCAAAATTCCATTGGTCAACTTTACGTCCTTGGATACCCAGATGTCAGAATAAACTAGTTAACCGAAGTCCTCGCGATTATTCCAACAAATGGTTGAAGACCGGGTGGCATGAAGCAGAGTCGGTCGCAGCAGTGCAAATGCATATCTCTGTCTTCCCTTAAATTCTAAGCCTCTTTGTCATCTTAGAAAACTTTCATCCCACGAATACTTACTGGAGCAAGTCATCCATCCTTATTCTGTTTCACTACTGCTGATACTGTTACTACTTTTGTCGCTCTGTGCTGTTTTTTGTCAACATATGTCAATGTACATGTGTGCCAGGTTCTAGATTGCTTATGAGCAACCCACTAAACATTCCAAATACGAAACCATGTTGGTAAGACATGGAATCAGAATTATATCCATACTGCGCGACCAAAAAAACGGAAGATCTCGGTAGAAACTGTGTCGGAGTATACCGTAATTTCTAAGCCATTGCTTGAAATTATTCCTAGGCTTTTGTTCCCAAACTGGTGACGCCTTTCAGCCAATGAATTACTGTTGTGAAATACTGTTATTATTTTTCAAAATACCTAATCAGCTCATCTAAAGATTTCTGAAGTTAAAGTCGGTTATTACTACTGAATAGCACCTTTCTGAAATAGGAATTCAGATATATATTCGCCACACGAAAAGTTGTCATTTAATTTAATTGTGTAAGGGCTGTGATACTGCCCAGGTGCCTAGACCACACCCCAAGCCTTTGACCTAATTTATTTATTATTTATTTAAACATGAATATTGGTACAAGGAAGCACCAGATACATATGCGCCGCACAAATCTCATTCGATTTGTGTGAGGGCTGTGATACTGCCCAGGTGCCCAAACTGAAGCATGTGGTTTTCTTAGGGGGCCACACCCGGAGCCTTTGACCTAAAGGTCTAACCCACAAGGCAGTGGAGCATCGTGAGGATATGCAGTCTCATGACTGACTGATTTGCAGTCCCATGGTAGTCGGTGGCCAACGATTGATTCATACGCCATTTGTTCCTCCAGGATACTGGAGCCCATGTACACCATTGGTTTGGAATGAGCGTTTTCCAACTCCCCTAGGTTGACGTTTCGTGTCCACCGACCCGGTTAAAGCTCCTGCCGGACATTGGCTTTTCGTCCTCTCAATTTCGTAAACAACACCTCCGCCACGAGAAGGCAGTGAGTAGGACTTTCCTGTCAAAGGCTATATACGCGTGGCTATGTGAGATCATTTGGAGAGGGAGAGCAGACTCCTCACTCTCGGCCGTACCATGGCATTTGGGGGCTCTTCATCAGTAAGTTTATGATGAAATTAAACAGAAATTGATATAGTGAACAGCCTTGTCGGACACCACTTGAGGTTGCGAAATCAGATGACAGTTCGCTATAAGCTCTGACTCGACTAGTAATGTTTATTATTTTATTTAAACACATTAATATTGGTACAAAAGCACCAGATAAATATGTGCCTCACAAATTTCATTCGATTTGTGTGAGGGCTGTGATGCTGCCCAGATGCCCAAACTGAAGCAGGTGGTTTTCTTAGGGGCCCACACCCGGAGCCTTTGATCGAAAGATCTGATCCACAAGGCAGTGGAGCATCGTGAGGAGATGCATTCCCATGGTAGCCGGTGACCAACGATTGATTCGTACGCCATTTGTTCCCACAGGATACTGGTGTCCATGTGCACCATTGTTTTTAATCAGGGTTTTCCAACTCCCCTAGGTGAATCCTTTATATCTACCAACCCGGTTAAAGCGCCTGACATTCTCTCTTCGTCCTCTCAATTTCGTAAACAACACCTTGTTTGAGAGAAGGCAGTGAGTAGGACTTCCCTGTCAGAGGCTATATATTCGCGTGGCCATGTTAGAGCATTTCGATAGAGAGAGCAGACTCTCTTCACTCGGCCGTACCAGGTCATTTGGGGGTAATGTTCAAATGAATGACCCAATAGACGCAAACGACAGTAACGCATTTGCATCCTTCGTTAATTGACTTATTTATTTGAACACAAATATTGGTACAAGGGGGCACCAGATACATATGTGCCACACAATAGCAATGAGAATGGGAAGAGATAGTTTTAGGTGCGTATAAAAGAAAGAACAATAACGACCACAAATTAGTGTATGGTAGTAAAAAAATAAAGATAATAGGAGAAAAAGAAAGGTGCAACCACAAAGATTTCTTTCAGTCAAAGAGGATACGGCCACTTTTTTGAGGAAGTAAAAGAAGGTTACAGCAGGATCGCCACTAGCATCTATTCTCAGCCATATGTGATAACGTCTCTAGCCACTGTGTTGCACCATCTCTCGGATCCCAGCCAGGGAGTCGTGAAGGACCAAACAGAAGCTAGTGCTGTACGGCTTCCTTTCATACCACGACACCATGTCATACACTGACCACCTCTCCGTTTTTTCCAACCAGTCCCATCGTCGGCAAATAATGCACGACGTGGAATTCTCTGAGACGACATTCGTAGAACATGTCCAAGCCACCGAAGTTGATGTTTCAAGATGGTGACACCAATTGAATTATCGTCTCTGCCCTCGAACACACGATGGCGAACCTCTACATTACTAACATGGTGTTGCCACTGTATGTCAGCAATCCTTCGGAGACAACGATGGTCGAACAAAGAGAGTCGTCTAACATCCTCAACTCGGAGAGGCCAGGTTTCACAAGAATAGAGCAAAACTGCTCTCACTGACGCGTTGTAGATCCGACCTTTTACAGCCAGACTAACGTCACGAAGGCGCCAAAGATCGCCCAGATTGGCATATGTATTACAGAAGCCAATAGTTTGGACGCAATTGGAAGTAGACTTATCCCTCGGTAGTTGTTATAGAAACGACGTGAACCCTTTTTAAAGACAGGGACAGCTATCAACTCGTTCCATGATGTTGGAACACTCTCTAGCTCCCAGAATTTTGTAAACAACTCAATCCTTTAGCCAGAAAGTCACCACCATCTTTGAAAAGAGCCAGAACCGCTGGCGTGGTTGTGTACAAAACTTCCGCTCCTTTTAGAGTACCTATCTGGAGTCTGATCATGCCCTAGTCTGCGCCAATCTCACCTTACTTTTCAGTGGCCAAAGGATTGAGCGCCATCAACGGACCGATGTTAGTAAACTGGCTGCAACTTCTGTTGCAAGTAAGTATCGAACGGAGCTAGCTTCTAGGCTAGCTACCATCCCACCGAAAAGTATAGATGAGCATTGGTTACAATTGCATGACGCCATGAAAATGGCGAGTAAAGTCACTTGTGGTTTCTTGAGACGTCGCGTTTAAAAGCACTGGGTTTCTTCAGTCTCCTTACAACCCATCGAAGTCCGTTGGTCTACTCCGGATGATCATGAGTTTGACCACAAACGTAGGCTGTTACGTAATGAAATTGGACAAAGCTTGCGTAGGGACCGAGAAGCCTGGTGGTCGGAGCGTGCTAATGAGATGGAAGCAACAGCTGCATCTGGTTACTGCCGGAAGCTCTTTCAGCTCATCCGAGCCACTGGCAGCAAGAAGTCTGGTGTGAGTGAAACAATCTACGAGGATGATGGGATGCCAATCACTAACATCTGTCGACGTCTTGGACGATGGGCGGAATTTTTCGAAGGGCAGTTCAACTGGCCTGCTGCTCCGGCAACATCAACCAGTTTGTCCTGCCCCCATGGCCGTTGACGACTGATCCACTAAATGAGGCGGAAGTTCACAAGGAACTCCAACTCTTGAAACGTTACAAATCACCGGGCCCAGATGACTTACCTCCAGCTCTTTTTAAAGATAGTGGTGACTTTCTGACTACGGAATTGACTGTGTTGTTTGGAAAGGTTTGGGAGCAAGAAAGTGTTCCAACATCATGGAATGGGTCGATAGTCGTCCCTATCTTTAAAAAGGGTTCACGTTGTTCCTGTAACAACTATCGGGGGATACGTCTACTTCCGATTGCGTCCAAACTATTGGCTTCTATCATGAACCTATTGTTGGTCACCGACTAACTTGGGATTATATCTTCTAACGTTGCTCCACTGTCCTCTTGATTAGACATCTAGATCAAAGGTTAAAAAAGTAATCCCCTACGAAAACCACCTCCTTTGGTTTAGGCACACGAGCAGTATCACAGCCCTCACACAAATAGAATGGCGAAGTGTAGCGCACATACATTCGGTGCCTCCTCGTACCGATGTTTAAGTGAATAAATCTTGTATGTTTAATTTGTTAGTGCCAGTAAGAATAATAATAATAATGTTAATAATAAACTACGATAAATTCGACGTTTATTGTGTTAATCATGGCAATCTTTAAAAGTTCTGATAGTGTGGTAAACTAAGATGATGCATATATGTGTC